TGAGTGCATTGTTTTTTGTAGCAGAAACTTAGAAAACCCAAATCAGAATTTTTACTATACTGTAAGTTTATGAGGAAAGGTCAAGACACTACAAAAAAAACGGATTCACAGCATTAATTTTATAGGCTGATATACATTAAAAGAAATCATATGGTTGACAGATTTGTCACATATTTCAAGAAAACACAGGGGTGACAGCATAATTTATTAAGTTTAGTGTGATACACACAGTGTTCACTGTTATTGCTTTAGAGGCAGATTTTACATGAAGATTATAAAGCATATTGTTGACTGCTTGATTTTGTGATAAGATTATTTAGAGAAAGCAGAAGGTTGACTTTTAAGGGCAAGTAACACTTTGAAAAAATAGTTTAAAAGCCAGCTATACATTAAAGGAAATGATGTAACTAACTGCTTGTCAACTGCAATTTTTCTGCAATATACACAAATTTACAGAAAACATACTGTTGGCTTTTTGATTTGCATGGTACATAATCATAAGGTTGACTGTTCTCTTTAAAAATGCAGATACTTTGAATTCATTAATTTTTCTTTTGTACTCATGAAATTTCGTGGTATTATCACAAAGGAAATTTTGTGGGTCCTTAAATTTGGGGACTGACCTAGCCAGGAAAATTTGTGCCCCATGAATAATAATGATTTGCAGTATTTTAAGTGTCTCCTAGAAAAACCAAAGTTGACTTTTGACTTGTTTTTAGAGACTGATGTTTTGTGAAGAGGCTGACAGTGTTATTTAGAGGAAGATATTAAAAGAACACACAGGGTTAACAATGCTATATTTCCAAGATATATATAGAGACATAGATTGGCTGAATTATTTATGTGGCAGATATTACAAAAACACAAAGCTGACTGTATTATTTCGAAGGCAAATAAACAACAAGAAAAAGCACATATTTGCAGACATTGTAATTGTTTTAAAAGATAGCAATGGTAGACTGTAATGTATAAAGGGTATTTTGGTTTTTACAGTGGACACAATATTGCAAGACATTTGACCTCCATGGATAACCTTTACCTACAGTTGGCAAAGCAGTGACATTGGTTCTGCATAATGCATTGTTACGGTCAAGTTATAGCAAATCCAACAAGGGGTATAAGATTTATAGAGCAGACAAAATTGTAAGACATTTGAACTTCAAGGGTGACCTTGACCTAGCACAGCAGCATTGCCTTGTTAAAAAGCATTCTTGAGCCAAATCAAAGCAATTATAGAAAAAGAACATTTGACCTTCAAGGGACATCTTGATTTTGAACTGACAAACAGAGGCATGAGTTCTGCAATTCTTGTTCAAGTGAACATTTGAGCCAACTTCAAAGCAAATCTTTCAATAGGTATATAGGATTTTATAAGAGGCACAAAATAATAAGACATACTTTTCAAGAGTGACTTTGATCTTCAGCTGGCAAAGCCATGATATTGTTGCCTTGTTAGGGTGAAGATTTCAGCAAATCCTTAAGTGGTATAGGATTCAAAGCAGGTATACAAAATTGTAAAACATTTGACCTTCAAGGGTGACCTTGACCTTCAGCTAGCAAAGCAAAAGTAGCAAAGCCTTCAAGGGGTTTAAGATTTATATATTAGACAAATCTGATGTTTTACCTTCATAGATGATCTTGACCTTGGCCAAGGTGAACATGTAAGCCAAGCTTAAAGCAAATCATTTAAGGGGTATACATTTTATAGAGGGTACACAGACATTTAAACATCAATGGTACCTTTGATACATTTCCTTGTGGGGGGTAAACACATAACTTCTTGAAGGGAGTTAGAATTTATATAGAAGATACAAAATTGAAAGAGATTTACCATCAAAGGTAACCTTGACCTTGAGCTTTCAAATAGGTGTCCTCGGTGCCAAGTTTGAGGAAGGGGGTATAGGATTTATAGAGTGGATAATGGCGGTGACAGACAGACTGACCAATTAATGGGACATCACTCCAGTATGGAGTCCTTTCCACATTATGTTTGTGAGGGTATAATATTAAATATTAAATAGCCTTCTTTTTTAAATATTTCTTGTACGCAGTATAATTATGTTATTTCAAAGGATTCCTTTAAAAATAAGAAAACATTTTCTAAGATAATCAACAACAATATTAATGCCCACTGACAATTGGGGCATTTTATTATTCTCAATGGGGACAAAAAACATTTTTCAGCATTAGGAATGCCTCTGTTGACTGGCAGTACATACATAAGAAAAATTTTTAAGGCCTATATTTGAAATTAAAGACTTATATTTATAGAAAATATTCTGTTGACTGCAAATTATAAAGGCAGATTGTTAATGAAGTAGATATTTAGACAAAACAAATCAAGGTCGAGAAATTTTTTCAGAGGCATATATTTTAATAAAAGACATTGACAGCTCTGTTTTAGAGGCAGAAATTAAGAGGAAATACATTTGGCAGTACTGTTTAAAAGACAACTATTTAATTAACATGATTCTTGACACTTAAACAAGTGTGTTGATTCTAAAAGGCAGCTTTTCAGAGATAAAACAAGGTTGACTATACCGACTTGATAAAAGAAATTAAGAGCAAACCAGATATTGAGACAAAAACACTTGGTAAACAGTACCATTTTGATGTAAATATTTGAAACAAGAGGGCCATGATGGCCCTGAAATCGCTCACCTGTATATAGGCCCCCCGGGGCAGGCCAATTTTTAACCCTGGGGCTTTTATTTGAACAAACTTTTGTAGATACCCATTAGAAGATGTTTCATGACAAATATCTAAGCTCTAGCTCTTTGGGGTTTTTAAAAAGAAGATTTTTTAAGTTTTTACTATACACATATAGGGAAAAAGTTATACCCCCCCCCCCCCACCACCACCAGACGGGGACAATTTTTATCCCAAGGCTTTTATTTGAACAAACTTGGTAGGCACTCAATAGAAGATATTTCATGCTTAGTATCTAAACTCTAGCTCTTTGGGGGTTTTTTTAAATAAGATGTTTTAAGTTTTTACTATAGTATTTACGCATACAAGGAAAATCAATGATCCTTTAGGTGCGGCAAATTTTAACCCCAGGGCCCCCTTATTTGAACAAACTTGATAGTCACCCACTAGCAGATGTTTCATGATTAATATCTTAGCTCTAGCTATTTGGGTTTTTTAAAATAAGAGTTTTTAAGTTTTCACTATATACAACTAATGAAAATCAATAACCCACTGGGGCGGGGCAATTTTGATCCCAGGGCTTTTATTTGAACAAACTTGGTAGACACTGACTAGACGATGTTTCATGCCATAGATTATCTGTTTTTTAAAAGAAGTTTTTTTTTTCGGGTTGTCATGGCAACCAGAGTTCTGCATGGAATTAAATTCTTTGAACAATTTTTGAAGTTGACTACCAAAGGAACATTCCTGTGAAATTTGGATGAAATTGGCTCAGCAGTTTATGGGAAGATGTTGTTTAAAGTAAAAGTTTACAGTTTGACAGATTATCGCCTAAAAAAATTCACAATTTCAGGGGTATGGGTCATTGCGAAAAAAGACATCACTGATAATAAGAGAATCACAGGTTTAATTTTGATGATATGATAAGCAGATATCTAGAAGAAAAAAAAACATGTTTTCTGTTTTGTGGTTTTTGGTTTTTTGTGTTGGGGGGGGGGGGGGAAAAAAAAAAGTGGGGCGTTGACACATATTTTGTATTTTGAGGACATAACTGTTTGACTATCCTTGTTTGGATAAAGACAGGTTTTATTTTCATGTCTGTACTGACTGAAATACACGTATTTTGTAATGTTTGTAATGTGAATCCCTTGTGTCTGTGGTAAGTTGAACTGCTTACTATATATCCACAACACAGCAAACATCACAGTAAAGAGACTAAGTGAAACAAAAGCCATGTTGGCCGATATGTTTGCTCATTGAAAGAATGTATATAATGCAGGGTAATAACTCAAAAATTATAAAGGGAAGAGTTGTCATTCTTGCTCCAGACTATATATATATATATATCTCTTCAATAAAAAGAAACTGACTATGAACCAAGCATAAATCATTGTTATTGTTATGTCATATTATTTTTCTGGTAATATTAAATCTATTTCAAAAGTGCAAAAAAGATACAAAACTCATGGAAAATGTTGCCAAACACAAAATAACTTAACAAACCTATATTATTAGTGTAACAAAGAGATAACTCATGGAAAATTGACACCATTTTTGGGGAAGGGGCCTCAGCATTTTTCTTGGGGAAAATATGCATGATTTTGGCATAATTTTGGAAAAGGGGTCTCAAATTTAACACAAAATTTTAACAAGTTCTTCGAAATAGAAAAGCAAAAACCAGTGGGAAATACTAATAAGGCAGTAAAAGACCTTAATTCAACACCATCATTTAATTTTGTTCTAAATTCTATGGGAAATTTCAAAAGACTGGAGAATTTTAAGGACCAAACTGGGGAAAAAAAGAGGCTAGTTTGGTTGGGGGAGCAGCCTATATTCGGCCTCTACAAAGAAAGGATTTTTGGCCCTAGAGATAACTATCAGTTCAGGAACATGATTTTATGTTAGATATGTGTAATATGAAGTCATTTGTCATGTATAAGTAAACATAATCACTGATTCTCATAAGAATTGTGAAATTGACAGATCGAAATTCGAAAAAAAATCGATCTTCTTAATAGGACCTAATTTCGATAATTTCGAAAAGTAGAACCCTTATACGAGACAATTGTTAAATATTTTGAACATCAACCAAATACTTTGCGTGTACTACTCCCCGAAAGAAGCAACCCTAGTTGTGAAATTTATCCTATTGTAATGTACGCTACTACCAGTTTATTAATTAAAACATTCCAAATTTCATAAGAAATATTAAACATATCTACTTCAGGAAACTTAATTTTACCATTTATTCATTGCATTTATCAAAAAACAAAATATTTTACTATAAAACACTTGAAATATTTTTTTTTTGAGCTTGCAAAATAATCACAACTAGAAATGTGTCACATACATGTGAACTTTCTCTGGTGCCAAGTAGGGAGATTTGACCCTAAAAGTAGGTAGATTGAGTCTGTTGGGAGGGAGATTTTCGGAAACAGGACTTTTTGCGTACAGGAAGGTCTTAACACACAATAATTAAAAGCATTAACTACAAATTCTTTAAAAAACATTTTATTTTGCATGATATTTCATTATCAACCCACTTTTATCATTAAAAAACTTTCTTTGGAAAACATACATGTTTTTTTTTCACTGAACTTGTGTTTTGATGTTTATGTTATTTATTCAGCTTTCACTGACACACTTTCCACTATTACAACTGTCTTTATATGTCATGCATGCTTTTTTGACAGCACTTATCATTTCTTTGTTCATGTCCATGTTGTAACACTCTGAATCAGAATTTAATTTCATGCATAGCAGGGAGTTTAATGTTTTGTTGGAGAGATTGTCTCTGTGATCTGTTTGGATTTTTCTAACCATGGAGAAACACCTTTCAGGGTCAGCATTGCTGTGGGGAAGTGATAGGGCTGCCAAAGCAACAACTGGCAGATTCTTAAATCTCTTCTGTCCATCTAATAACAACATCCCCTCCATTTCTAGCCAGTAAGTGTCAAGTCTGGTTTCATCTGGACTGAAGTTAGGCAGCTCCTCATTTGGTGTTAGTTGATAGTCCAGGAATTCATCAAGCAGCTGATCTTCTTCATGGTTACACTGAAATCTCTTGGCAAGCCTCAACACTGAAAAAAGTAAAAAATATATCAATATTAGTACAGACAAATATATTAAGGTACAATTAGAATATGTTGTATCATGGTGCCTTTACATTTTAGCCATTATACATGTAGGTTATTAAACTCTGATTTCATTACTGATAATTAAATCTTAATACTGAAGTTCACACAAATTTTATGTATGCCAAAGCTACAAATGATTCAAACAAATAAATAAAGTCAAACTACCTGCTTCACCGGAAATATTCTGTCTTAAACAGGGATTGACAAATCCAAGATCTTTCAAAGTGGTATCTTCTAAGGGGAATTTCTTTATCATTTTTTCTGTAACCTCTGTGTAGAAATCACGGACTGACCTGCAAACAATTTAAAATATTTTTTAATCATAAACAATCACAAGAAAATCAGCATCAACATAAATTCTTTTGATATTCATTCAGATACTTTTGTTTCATATTTACAAGCCAAAGATCTTGATTGTTTGAATTCTAACATTCTTAAGATATTTAATGGAATCATGTGTCTGGTTTCTTCTTTTTATTGCCTCTATTCTAATATATAAAACTGTTTCTCAAAAATGGTATACATGTACATGTAGCATAAGTTGAAATTTATGATTAAATGTGAAATACCTGAAAAATTTGTTCAACACTACTGGACAAATGTCAGGGTTGTCATGTAAGTATGACCTGGTTCCCATACCAACAGCTAGGTCATCATCTTGGTGTTGATTGGATGGATTTCTGAAGTCTACCTCTGTAATCTTAGAAGCAGTAATGACCTTTGTTAACACAAATTTGCCCATGAACTTGCGTAGAAGCCTCATCATCTCTACATGTAAGAATCCAATCTTAGACTCATTAGCCTGTTAAGAAGATGAAAAAATGAAAATAAAGACACAAATAATTAAGAAATCTTTCAAAGTTAAAAGAAATTATAAACACTGGTTTTGAATCTGATTCTTTTTTTAATTACAAAATCTTTTTTTTTCTGTTAAAAGGAAGAGAACACTGAACAAAAAAAGGAATATCTGTAACACATTTCAATTGTCATTTCTCATTGAATGATATGTGCTATTATTTGATTGATTTGCTTAAGTGTTAGTTCATGTTTGCATACCTGAAAAGCAGTGTTGAAATCATTCATTGGTTCCATTATGAAGGTAAGGAAATGGTATGTTAGCTCAAACATAGGGTCATTTAGGCGTTGATAACATCTCTGCACTCGGGAGCCAGTTGTCTCGCAATCATTATGGCTGCTGAAATAGGACTTTAAGGCTGGCCATTGCTGTAGGAGTCTACTGACACATTTCTGTAAAGACAACCACCTTGTAGAGCAGTGCTTGATGATCTTGGCAGGTTCTGTATCGGTGAACATCTGGAAATCTTTGTACTCCTCTTTCCGTTTGGAACTGAAAAGCAATTGAGTATATAGAATACCAGATAATTCATAAAATGAATAATTAGGTAAAACCACTGTTCCATTTGTCTTTAAAGCTAATTAACTTTCATTTAATCAAGAAGATATCAACTTAAAGCACAGTTCATATTTTGTCTCTTATGTATGATAATTAAAATTATTTGGAGTTTGTTTAATTCTGCTTAGCTTAGCCTTACCTATGATGAAAGTGAAAGAATACATCAACAAGGAGATCTTCTACTGGAACACCCAGTTTCTTTAGCCCATACTGTACACAAGTGTTGGCTAAATGGCATACACAGCCCATATCGTACACATCAGGTTGCTTCTCACGAATACGAGATAGGACCGAGTTGTGACGGCCAACCATGACACTAGCGTTGTCAGACCCATACCCAATGCATTGCTGCCATGGTATATTCTGATCCCTGAAACAGAAAAAATATCAATTATCATACCTTATATATCATTCATCATTTCATCATTTAAAACAGATTCTTCCAATTAGATGTAAATCATAGCCTTACAGAATATTACAATTTGTTTACATTAAATTTTTTTCATATCTTTTGTCTCCTTATGTTTGATAGCAATTTTTTCTTACTGCATTAAATACTTACAACAAAACCTGCTCAAGGCAGCTGAATAAGTTCACCCCAGTACCAATATTACATATTGGCATTGCTAGGAATCGTGTTGTTATCCTGTGAACACTGCGATCAAGGACCCTAACTAGGATTGCTACACTCTTATTGTCTCCACTGTCATTGGATTCATCCATCATGATAGAAAATTTATTAGTACGACATATCTCTGCTACTCGATTTTTCTGTGAGGGGGCCATGGCTTCATTCAATATGTGGGTTGTTTTTGTTCTTTGGCATCTGAATTTCTTAGCTATCTGCGAGTCTGGGAACATTTCTTTACATAGGGTAGTGAAGTGATCAGCAACTGTAAAGGCTAAATTGTGTTCGGCAACAAAACTGACAAATAAAGCTTCTGCTTTGGTGACCTGATCTTCGAGTGGGAAACATGGAGGTCAAGGATGGCGTAGAAGCAGCACCATTCACTCTCTTGGAATGTTGAACAGTAGATAAATGTTTCTTGATATCATTAATTCCACACTGTCATCATGCCACGGATGCCCCCACATGCAGCAAAAATTTCAGATGTTATATTATTTAGTTCCAAATTTGTCTGCACAAATTTTTTTTCCATTTAAGTTCAAAGCCCTTAAAACTTTTCAATGTAAACACAAACCATTTTTATACAATGTTGAAGGCACTGAAATTATTCAGTCTTAACCTTTTGTAAATTGCATATTGCATATTTGTAACCAAAATAATGGCTACATACATTTCAACAAAAGTACGAGTGCTGAAACTGAAAATTCAAAATTTTTTACAACATTCAGGAAAGATAAGTTTGTCCAAAATCATTGAACCACAACCAAATTCAAACTTAAACTGCTTATTCCTAAGATGTATCTGTATGTTAATTTGAGTTGAATGTGTACATCCATTGGGGATATAATGAACGGAAACTTAAGATTTCTGATTTTTTTTCAAAGTTCAAGAGGGATAACTATGTCAGCTATCATCAAACCATGACCAAATTCGAAATTGACCAATGCATTCTTATGACATATCCATATCTTTAATTTGAGTTGAATATGTATACATATCTTTAATTTGAGTTGAATATGTACAACTGTTGGTGAGAAAATGAATGGGAACTGAATTTCCTTTTTTTCAAAGTTAAAGGGGCAGAACTCTGCCAAAAATCATCCAACCATGACAAAATTCGATCTTGACCTGCGCATTTCTTTGACGTATCCGTATGTCAAATTTGAGTTGAATGTGTAATACCCTCGAGGAGATAATGAACGGAAACTGAAAATATCATATTATTTTCAAAGTGAAAGGGACATAACTCTTGCCAAAAAATCATCCAACCATGACAAAATTCCAACTTGACCTGCGCATTCCTTTGACATATCCATACGTCAAATTTGAGTTGAATATGTAACACTGTTGGGGAGATAATGAACAGAAACTGTAAATTTCATATTATTTTCAAAGAGAAAGGGGCATTACTCTGCCAAAAAAACATTGAACCATGACCAAATTCAAAGTTGGCCTGCGCAATCCTTTGACATATCCATACGTCAAATTTGAGTTGAATATGTAACACTGTTGGGGAGATAATGAACAGAAACTGTAAATTTCATATTATTTTCAAAGAGAAAGGGGCATTACTCTGCCAAAAAAACATTGAACCATGACCAAATTCAAAGTTGGCCTGCACATTCCATTGACATATCCATATGTCAAATTTGAGTTGAATGTGTAATACTGTTCGGGAGATAATAAACGAAAACTGAAAATTTCATATTATTTTCAAAGTGAAAGGGGCATAACTCTGCTAAAAATCATTGAACCATGACCAAATTCAAACTTGACCTGCGCATTTCTTTGACGTATCCATATGTCAAGTTTGAGTTGAATGTGTTGTACCATTCTGAAGATAATGAACAGAAACTGAAAATTTCATATTATTTTCAAAGTAAAAGGGGCATAACTCTGCCAAAAATTATCCAACCATGACCAAATTCGAACTTGACCTGTATTTTCTCATAACATATCCATATGTCAAGTTTGAGTTGAATCTGTTGTACCGTTGGGAAGATAATGAACGGAAACTGAAAATTTCATGTTATTTTCAAAGTAAAAGGGGCATAACTCTGCCAAAAATCATCAAACCATGACCAAATTCGAACTTGACCTGTATTTTTTCATGACATATCCACAGCTTAAATTTATGTTGATATGTGCAACCGTTACTAAGATAATGAACGGAAACTGATGATGACGGAAGGACAGAATGATGGAAGGACAGAAGGACGGAAGGACAAAACAGGGTAACACTATATGCCCGGCCATTATATGGCTTGGGCATAATAAAACGCAATTCTACAAAAGTACTTTTATCTAAAATGCGGAATTTTCAATGATGGATATCAATTCTATGATTCCATTTATTTGTTCTTATGTTTTGTTTAAACCTTACTTCAATTTTAATAAAGTGATGAAAACAAACTTTGCAAACAAAATAACTGATTAAAGTTTTGTGGTAGGTTCTTTTTGACAGAACATTAATTGTCTTGGACATTACCATGATTACGGAATCCTGTAAAAATATTTGTTGTGGGTAATAATAGTAATAGTTATTATTATTATCATTTTATTATATAATCCATTTTTAAGTTTAAACTTTATTTTATTAGGTGTGTTCATTAAGCTTGATTTAATAGCATGGGTAAATAATATTGCACGGACAAAGTAACTCACCAGTATAACTATGTATCCGACATACAAAAGAAGTTATATACCTGTACTTTATATTAATATCAATGTAATAAAACATATTTACTCAGACCGTGGGCATATAATGCAAAGTGCAGAATAACAACACATATATTACAATTCATGCCTTTGATATTATTAAAGCTACATCAAATTATAAGATTTGAACAGAACATTTCAAGAAAGAGCATCATACTAGCCCATTATATAGATAAAAATGTATTTAAATTGTCAATTATTATGTGCTTCCTACCTAATTTAAAATACTTCAATTACAAAGAGCAAACATTGTATTTTCCTTCTACACTTGTCAGTGCAATTGCTACATTTTTCTAATAGAGCGGGTGTGGATAATACCGAACACTTAAGGTGAAATAAGTAGTATTAGGTAATACACAAAGTACCTCACGATTTTCAATTGACATTTGATGAATATGAGTTTTCTTTTACATTTACATGCAAGAAACACCTATCTACACACATTTTATAAAGAGTTAGACATTTCATATATAAGACCCTGACTGCTTCTATTACCGACCATATGTGTGTAATACCGAACACACATGCATGTATTTCCGAACACTGCCAACTTCTTACAAAAAATGTAAATCTTCAATTGAAATATAGATCGATTTATAACGATATCATTTCATTATTGTGCAAGAAATATATATTTCACAAGTATTCACTATTGAACAATGTATTACGTGTTCAAATGTGTAAATAATAAATGATTTAAAGATCAATTAATTTTTATTCAATAACAGCTGACCATAAGATCTTAACAATATTTGTACTCAAAAGGAATTCCAGCTATACTTCTGTACTTGTACTTACTAGAGCTATTTATATATTAATTTATCTACTTATTCATTTATTTATTTATCTTTCTATCTATTTGTTAAATGATTGGTTGAATGAACAAATGAATGAATCAAATAACAGAAATACACATACATAGACAGACTAAAAAGAAATAAACATACATGGACAGTCTTAAGGAAATACACAGAAATACACATACATGGACATACTTAAACAGAAATATACATATGTTGACAGACTTAACAGAAATACACATACATGGACATACTTAATGAAATACACAGAAATACGCATACATGGATGGACTTAACAGAAATACACATACGTTGACAGACCTAACAGAAATGGTCATACATGGACAGACTTAAAGGAAATGAATAGAAATACACAGACCTGGACAGTCTTAACAGAAATACACATACATGTTAATTTTAATTAATTGATTAATAATTGATCAATTATTTCATTTGTTTACTTATTTATTTAGATGTATAGAATTATCTATTTTACTACTATAATTGTTTTTAGATAAATTTATAACATAACTGTGTTGTTTTTATCATAATGTAAGAACTGTGTTCAGTAATTCACGCATGACAAAATTTAACTGTCATGCAAATAATACACAGACCTGAACAGTCTTAACAGAAATACTTATACATGTTATTTTTAATCAATTGATTAATTATTAATTAATTATTTCATTTATTTATTAATTATTTTTATTTTATTTATTTATTTTACTACTATAATTGTATTTAGATAAATTTATAACTTAAGTGTGTGGTTTAATCATTGTAAGCACTGTATTCCGTAATTCACGCATGACCAAATTTAACTGCTTGTAATTCCAAACATGCAAATTATTCAGTAAATGAATATCTAAGTGACATATGGAGTTATTTTTCCCATATCACAGTACATGTATTAGTTTTACAAATAACAAAAAACATGTGATTTAGCGAAATCACAGGACCATATAACCTTATGACGTCAGGTATCTAAAATTAGAATATCTGTAACAGAGTACCTACTTGTCAAGTGTCGTGGTATTTTAGTCTTGAAAATCTTTGCTTCGTCAAGGGTCACAATGGAAATATAACAGATATGTCGGGAAAGAAAGTGACATCATGTTTATGATGTCACTGCTTTATTTGAGGAATATTAAGAAGGTTATGGTGTAAAGAAAATTGTGTTCCGCAATACACGCATGTTTGGTAATACCCATACCCCCTCTACCGACTTCACCATACATGACTGTAGAGATGAAGAAAGTTTTCAAGATCTGCATGTAATGTTCGATACCGATATTGTAATGTTTGATACATAGTTATAATATGTTGCACACGCTATTATGTGTATAATATTGTAGACGACTAGTTATTATTATTTTGTGTGTTTATAATTTTAGTTTTTTTTAACTAATGCGGTGAAACATAATTCGGGTTTGAAACTGATTTAGATGATAATCAACAATATTGTTTCATCTAAATATACGCATTTAGTAGTGAACATTACAATACCTATAATGAAAGGCATATCACTTATAACCTATATCTAAACAGCTTTAGTAAGAAAACCTTGCATACAAATTCTGGCTTTAGATGAAAATTAATATTAAACATATAATAATTAATATTAAACATATTACATCTTTGTTTTTGTAGTTGCTAGAATCTGATATTCAGTAACTCTAGACTCTAAAGCTGTACTTATACAAAATTAAGAAAATCTGATTATTACTGTAAAGTACAAAGGATGTATATATTTATGCTGCATCTATGAGTATATCACAAAAATGTTTAACTTGTTTGTGTAATTGAAAATTAAGTATACTAAAGCCATGTTACATTTTTATTGTATTGAACATTACAAACGCGTACATTACTGACATGTACGTACCCGGGTGTAGATTTTCCAAGGTTTTTGGCTAAAATCCTTGGAAAAAAACCTCGGAGTATTGGAACAAGAAAATGCAAAACTTTGCTATTAAAAAAACCTTGGAAAAATAGGGAGAGGGTGAAAAACCTTGTAAAAACATTTCCGAGTTTTTTTTAAAAAAAAACCTCGTAAAAAGTAAGACCTCGGAGTATTGGAACGATTTCCAAGGATTTCAGAATAAAAACCTCGTAAAATAATTTCCGAGGATTTTGTTTAGAAAACCTTTGAAAATGAGTGACCTCGGAGTATTGGAACGATTTCCAAGGATTTTTAAAGTGTTTCAGTGGTTTGTTTTCCAAGGTTTTTAAATGAAAACCTCGGAAAGTTTCTCACAACTGGGAATACTGTTATATTTTCGAGGATTCTTACTTAAGGGCATCAGAGAATTTTCCAAGGTTTATTTGAGCAAAAACCTTGGAAATTTCTAGAATATCCATGGAAAATCAGAAAATATAACATCCAATGAAATATTCTGAAAAGAGCAAATATATTGTCCTTTTAAGGAATTAAGAAACTTCTTTGTAATAATACAGAGCAAAAAATGATCACATGACTCACTTAAACATTTAATGTTAGTGTGAAGTAAATAGTAATGCACTACAAATGAAAAGTTAAGTTAGAAGTCTTTAATGGTAAATATTACACTCAATGTTCAGTTATAATTTTTTGGTATCCGGTTAAATTTTTATGTATTCAAATATCTATCTTTTGAATTCCTGTTCACTCTTCATGATTTTTAAATGTCCCTTAGTTTTTCCCTCACCATCACAGGGGTCACATGTGGAAAATGCTCCAGGATACAATTCCTGAAATAAATAAAGTAAATATTTAATAAAGTACAGCCATTGAAAGAAGTTAGAAAAACAATTATATAAAATCACCACTGGGCGCTTCCCTCTCCATTGGGCGCTTCCCTCTCCATGTGGTCAGGATCAAAGACTTCAAACTACTTGCCTTACAACATTGTATTTTTGACTCCTGAAGCCCGAGGATGGGCTTCTTCCCTCTGAGGGAGCTATCCAGCCCAGGATTAAGGAACACCTGTGGTTATACTCAGGACAGTTCAGTATGTGTAGGCAATCAGAATTACATCATTTTATTTCTTTTTTATTAATCAATAAAAAAATGATACATTCCTTAAACGTTTCCATAGACAAAAATATCAGTTCACTGTTGATATATATTGTTTTAAAAAATCAGCACTTTTGTGAAATCCAAAACTACTTGAATTACAAGTTGTTCAAGACCATTGATTAAAATGAAGGCTTTAATATTTTCAAATGACCTTTTCTGTAGTTACTTTTAAATGTTTGTCTACTGTTTTGAAATAGTGAATTTAATTTTTTTCATGTTGATTTCTTATTTTTCTTCATCAGTACTTAGTGTCAGGATTTCAAGAAAACTTTGGTAAGCAGTGTGACAATTCTGCGATGTTAAGAAAGAAACGATGTCTGTTACTATTATTTTAGATAATGTCATACTTGATGTTACAACCTAAAGCACTCTAAAAATATTGCAAAAAAATAACGCTTTTCATAAGGTGATTCTGATTGCCTACACTAATTGTATCTGTCTGCTCAAAGTGACATCTGCATCAATAAAGCTGGAGAGTCATCATGTAACATTAATAGCATTTCCAACAAAGTATCAATAAAAAAATCAGTTCCAGAAACCTTCATTCATTCAAATTTCAAATTGAAACTTTCAAAACCTAGTTTTAAAACAAAAACATACTGTAGTATATTCCTTGAAGCCTTTCCTGGTCTACAGTTGGCTTCCTTAATCGATGCCTGGATGCCAATGATATACTATGATAAAACACAGCAAAGCTGGATTGCCATCTTCTTGTAGTTTGGAACAGTCTTGCAAACTTGCTTACAAGCTGACTCTGTAATTAAAAATTTGTAGATTCAAATAATAGATGAAAGATGAAAGTTTATAAATAATGTCATCATAGTTTCATGCACTCATCTTGTTCAATACAATCATAGACAAAAATAACATTAATACTCATAAAATATCCTCTAAACAATTGTATTTAAACTAGCTTACATTTAGGTTAAAAATATAGATCTAAAATAGTTTGTATTTAATACTTATTTGAAAAAAAAACAACAACAGATTTTATGCATAAATGTATCTAAAATTATTTACCTGAACCTTTTTACTATCATGTTTCTTTTGTTTATCTTCCTGTCCCAGGTCATTGATCTTTAGGTTCAATTACAACAACCAAACATTTCCTGAATCTTGTCACACTTAGATAAATGTTTTCTTTGAAAATTCCAAAATATGCTCCCTAACATTTAAAACAAGATATGTCCAAAATTGCTTAAAATAAATCCAGGTTTGCACTTCTTCCAACTATAACCACTTGACCCATTAATGTCTGAGATTCAAATTTTTCAACAGTATAACTGAAGGGGCAATCATAATGTGAAACAGGGGTGATCCCAAAATATCAAAGCCATCATCATTTTATTTTTACATTAATTTTATTGAAGGTACAAATATGTCAAATGATAAATAAAAGTAAAACTTGAAAATTATAAGAGAATCACAGTTGCAGTGTCATTTTAGACTGTTTTGGATTGTATAAAAACCCAGACTCCCCCCTGAATAATCACATGGAACAATCTGGTCTATCCCAGAATGCTCAATGAGAAGATTGATCATGCATAGATTATAAGAGGGAACCACCTGGGGTGCCATTAGTTTTATCTGATCAGTGTGTTATATTCTGTGTGTGAAAACTTAGTGGATGCAGTATTTATTTATCTTAATTATGAGAAAGTATCAAGCATACATATTTTACACATTAATTGTACATAATTATATATTAAAAGGACAATTAATAACTATTTATGTTTATTTTACACATAATTAATGGCAGAGTAAATTGTAATCTGAATGTATGTCACAGACTTGCTTAGTAGAATATACTATTTTATATGGCATAAAACATATATTAAAGATTTATAGCATTCTAATTTCAGTGTTGCTTACAGGCTGTCAAGAAACCCTAAGTTAAGTCTATATCATAATAGAAAGAAACTGCAGGAAAAATACTGATGCATTTAGAAACTAATAGACATAAACACTGATTGTTTCTTTTTGTATAATTATAAGTTTTGCTCTTTTATCTATTCTTAAAAATGGAGAAGATATCTAGTAACAATAATTATAAATAAAAAAAAAAATATGAAAAAAAAAAAAATTAAAATTTCAAGTCTTTCTGATCATCAGTTATTTGAATAATCTTTATCTTTGTTATGATTAGTTATAATACCTTTATAGCCATTAATAAAAGGTATTTTATGGCAACAAGGAATTTACATTGTATTTAACTTTTCCATGTTTTCACACTTAAATTTTTTTTAATTGGTTCCTCCCACAAAAATGGCTTCAGAAGATTAAAGTACAAATTTATTGAAAAGGAAGTTGGCCATTGACAATGTCCATACTAAAAATTGATTCCCTGGACCAAATCTCTCCTTTCCATGCTGTTGGACAATTGTTTGCTCTGACCATGGATTAAGAAATATCCATTGGCAATCTACAGTTGGGTTGTTATCTTAGTTTGCTTTAACTGTTGATTATTGCTTTTGATGCCCATTATAAGTTAAATCATGATTATGTCTTAACATTTTCCGAGATGAAATTTAGTTAAGTTCAATTATCCGAGGTCATTTCCAAGCTAAATATTGGCAAAGTGTTTCCAACAAATTTTACGTAAATTTTCTAAGTTCTTTTCCGAGCAAAAAATGACAAAGTTCTTATTTCCAAGCTTTTTCCGAGCTGATTTTTGGCAGAGTGTTTAATTCCGAGATAGTTTCCAAGGTTTTCTTTATTTCCAAGGATTTTTATACAAAAACCTTGGATAAATTTTCCAAGGTTTTAAAAAAAACCTCGGAATTAAGAAAAAACCTTGTAAAACTGGTTTTTTTCCAAGGTTTTTGAAGCAGTTTCCATGGTTTTTTTCATAAACCTCGGAAAATCTACACCCGGGAATATAGATATATTAAAAGATATGTGGACACAATTCTTTCAGAGTTGGTTATTATATATCCCTCCAAATGTAAATCATTTATTAAAAATTCCTTAATTGGGAAAAAGTGCATAGAATGTACTGAATTTTTGTAGCGAACTTTACATGCTTAGGTCATCATCTGGCACAGGCTGTCAAAGTGATAGATAAATTCTTTTTCATAAGAAAGATAAGTCTGGCTATAGTAGCATAAATATTTCATTGTAATTTAATGTAAATAAACATATAAATGACTTATATCACTAAGTTATTTTCAATTAAGTCGACACTTAATTTACAAGTTGCGTACATTACTGATGCCGGTAAATTTCGGTGACAGTTCTAAAACATTTAACACATGACACATCAGTCTTTTTAAGTCGGTCACGCTTCGAAAACAGATATACATACAATGGCACAAATTATTTTTTGCCCAAATTGTATTACCTCAAACACCAAAATCCAAAATGGAGACAGTCTCGAACGTTACATTTCCAATAGCTTCCTTTGTAACATTTTGTATCAATGTATTCTGTGTATCAAAAATTTCTCTATTATACTTTTTGCACGTTAGCTATAAAATAGCAAGTTTTTCTGCAAAGAGTATGTCCACAGTGTGCAGCGACATCAATTTCACAATTTGCATGAGAATTAGTGTATAAATAGGTATACAACCCCTACAGGAAAGAAGGCAGGCCAAGATTCTCCTTCAGGCAGAGAAGTTCAAGTGTATCCCTGATAGCCCCATGAAAAGCAGACTGGCAGGATATACAAAGAATAGGCTCAAGCGAAACCAGCTTTGTCACTGAAGCCAAGAAACTGGACAGAAAGTTTGCCCCAGAGCTAACAATTCCTACCACTCCCTTGGGCAGAAAAGACATACTAGACACATTGACAAATGACCTGTCTGGCATTAAGGTGAAACTCAATATCCCACAGCTTGAAAGTGGTAAACAAGAATGTGAGAATATCAAAAAGAGTCTTGCGCTTGCCATGATCAACAAAGACAACCCTAATGACAAGTGGACCCATGTCTGCACAGATGGGTCAGCCACAAGAGCAATCAAAGATGGAGGGGTAGGTATTCTCATTATACACCCATCAGGCCATCAAGTTACACACCATATGGCCACTGGAAAGCACTGCAGCAACTTTAGAGCAGAGACTAAAGCACTCATGAAGGCAGTCTCCATGATCATAGACTCTACAGAAGCTGTCTCTTCAGTTGTCTTTCTCACCGACGCACTATTAGTCCTGGAAGCCCTGATCGACAACAAATCACCAGACCTAGCCAGAGAATGAGTGACCTAAGCACCATTTGCAGCGTAGCCATATAGTGGATACCAATTACTGGGAATGAAGAAACTGACCAATTGGTTAAATTTGGAGCACAGTCAGAGCAACCAGATGTTAAAGTCTCATACAAGGAGAGAGTCACCATCATCAAAGCAATAACAAAGCCAAGACAAGAGCCTGATGCAAATCACTCTTTGAACTGGCCAGAACAAGTGATGATGGTGAGACTACGTTCAGGACATAACAGACTTTACGCACACATGAACAAAAAGTACCGACTCGTTCAATCCCCAATGTGTCCGTGCGGAGAAGAAGACCAAACTACAGAGCATGTCCTCCAAAGATGTAAGCGACACGACAAGGAGCCAGCTGCGACGTGGCCTCAGGAAACAATCCTTCAAAAGATGCTTTATGGTGATGTTGAGGACCTGAGACGGACCACATCCTTCATTGTATATACTGGCATAGTCGTGTAATTGCGAACGCTAGTAAGTAAGTAAGTGAGTCTATAAATATCCAGCTTAAAATATAGACCAAGAGTACAGAAGCTGTACAGTTCAACTACATCATTGCTGGGCATTTTCATTCCATGGTTATTTGACAAATTGTCATAGATCTCCAAGTTTTTAAGTATATCAATTTTAGAGAATAAAGTCTTACAAATTTGTAAAAAAAATGTTGGATTGTTTGGTATTATTGGTTATATCATGCCAAACAATATACATGTATGTATATTATATTAAGCTTAAAGTTAGTCAAATTCTAGCAGACAAGTTTATCAAAATGAGTCAATTAAATACAAGTTTATATCTTCAAGAAGGATTTTTGATGGAGCAGAAGCAAAATGTTCTCTTATAGAATATATCACAAACCTATGCAAGATCATGGCAATGGAGAAGGAAATGTTAAACAGTGAAATATTCTCCAATTCACTATCAATTAAGAACTACATGATCACAATGATTTTGGTGATTTATCAAGACAGGGGTTGATATGATGAAGTTTGTTGGATCCGGCCTTGTCCTAATCTGATTTCCATTTAGATAATATTTGATTACTAATAAAGTATGATTTTAATTTTGGTAAAAATATATCTACTGGCTGAGAATTTTATTATTCAAAATCACAGTTCAAATCCTTTGTTTTTGTAGATATTGTTTATTACCTGAAATAACAGCCTGTGCTATCATCTTAGCTAAAATTTTGCATTATAATTTGACTAGAGACTAAAATTTTTATGCATACATAAATTATATGACAATTCTAAATTAAAATGTTTCTTTGAGCACCACCAAAACCTTAAACTAAACAATATAACTATAATCAACATCAACTATAAAGGACTTTGTAATTTAAAAATGTGAAACAATCAGAAATAAAATAAATATTTTACCCAAAAATGCATATCTTTTTAATTAGGGTATGTATAACCTATATGTTTGTTTGAAACTACACATTTGATGAAAGATAAAAATATGGGATGGAAACTCTAATTTATGCAATACATATAATTTGGCACATAGCATTTAAACAACAACAATTTATTTACGGACAGTAAGTAATATGTGAGGAACACATGACAACATTGGAACAAGCTAAAAAAATATTAAAAACCTACTAGTTTTGGGTATGCATTACCCTTTTTCAAGTTAATATTAATTTAGGATTTGAAAAATTATACTTGCTGTAAATTCTAATGCTACAATTGTTTAAAAAAAATAGCTGCATACATTTTGTATTCTAATGCTTTGAAATAAAAAAAAATTATTGCTTTACTGTTTAAGTGTTGTTTGAAAAAAAAAGCTGCAAGTTTTTGAGAAACTGTATTAATAATGTTGCTTTATATCATTTACGCTATCGAAGGTTACTAAATATATTAATAACAAGGGTGCCATAGTCACAAAATACGCCCGTTTACGAAAGCTTTAGATGGAGATGGGGGCATTATGGATAAGTGTTATCTAGCAAGCAAGTTTTTATTCTTGGCACTGTGTTGTTAAATGAACCTTAAAACAAATCAGTAGGGAAGATATGCACAGGATGTGTGACCTTGACCTTTGTCGCAGGGACCTGAATTTTATGCATGGCACTCAGCCTCACAATGATGAATGAACATTTGTGGCCAAAATTATTTTGAAATCCCTCTATGCATGTAGAAGTTTTGCCTCCAGACAAGCGTTTTTCTATGAGCTCTAACTGTGACCTTCACCTTTGACTAGAGACTTGGTTCATGTGCAGGGCACTACGTC